CGAAGTTTTCTTTCTTTTGCGAAAATATTTTAAACATGAAACTAATGCAAGGGAAACAAAAAAAGACGCTTCATTAAAATTTGCTTCCCTCGATGTAACGTAAGTAAACTTTATCATGCTGAAAGTTTTGATATTAATGTCCCTACAATATTTTCCTTTTCACCTTGAAACAAGTCAACGGACATAGGGAAATATGTTCGTTTTGATATAATAAATTGCAAATCTGTAGTATATACCATATTTATAGATATATCTAAAGTTAGATTTAAATTATATTAACTCATATTTTTCATATTTCAATAAATAATAATATTATCATTTCTTGATAAATATATCGTGTACCAATATATAATAAATTTATAACACTATACTATCATTATGCGATTTTCATTCAACGTTGAACGAAAATTGTAGTACTAGCATAACATACAAAAAAAAATGGGTTTAAAAGTTTTATTACTTAATGATAATGATAGTGGCAATAATAAATAACTGAGTGAATCAAATGTGAAAATTGTTATATAATACATCCTCTTGCCCAGGGGTCGGCAATACGTGGTTCCGAAGACTCATGAGACTCCCAGCTTTCACAGCTTACTATGTTGTAAAAATTTGAAATTTGATGATAGGGCCCCAACTTACACTATTTGAGATGGGGGTGCAACACTTCGCTATTTCATTTTAGTATATTAGTTCTTATTGCGTCAAGTCGAGGGAAACTAGCTATCACATTGATAATTGTTCCACACTGACAATTCACAACAGGGGTCGGAAATACGTGGTTCCGAAGACTCATGTAACTCTTTTGATGAGAAAATGAGACTCACATGTTTCACAACGTTTTCTATAATGGCTATGTTGTAAAATTTATTTCAAAAGTAAAAATAGCGATCGAAATATTATAAGAATAGCTCGTTGCTTCCAAATATACTTCCATAGTACGCCAATTTTTGCAAAATATTTTATTAAAGATTTTTAATTTAATAATTATGAAAATGAAATTATTAACAAATATATGAAATGAATGTAAAAGCACAATACATTTTCATAAGTTACCAAAAATGTATTAGGATTTGTAGTCTTAGTGAAACACGATTTACCAATTTTGGCACATAACAAAAACACATCAGTTTTCGCAAAAAAATTGTTCAAAACAGGCAAACTGAGATACACAGCCAAGCAACTCGAACAATCTTTAAAAACTGAATAATACCCATTTATGCCTAATTCAAACACAAATTGATTTTATTTTAAAAACCTCTTCATTTATAGGTATTTCAACATATAAGTAAAAAGTACCCACCACCACATATTGCCACGAATAACAATACATTAAGTGTTCAAAGACTGCTCACTTAGATTAACTCCTCTCATTCTCTTGTTATAATTTTTGATCGCATAACAAGTAAATTATAGATTTTTCTAATTGAAAATCAAAAGTACTTTTCAGTTATTTTGAAAATACCTTTGACTTTAATAGTTGCTGTTGCCCCAAAGCCTCTTTTAGATCAGAGTTTTCATCAAGTGCAGAGTAGATGTGTTACTTTTATGGTTACATCATATAAGTCTCACTAGATTGCTGAATACCGGTCTACCTGATTGTGTATAGTGGGCAAAAATAGGTTACGTTGTAACATCTTTGGCAGTAATGCAAAAGTTAAAAACTAGATGCGATGGCCGGGAATCGAACCCGGATCAACTGCTTGGAAGGCAACTATGCTGACCATTACACCACCATCGCACATATATAAAAATTATACCATATATGGTATACACATTTAATCTCCTGTTATTAAAAATCTAGGTCAATATATTATCTATCAAAAAAGAATTACGCAGTCGGTAGGATTCGAACCTACGCTCCCAGAGGGAATCTGATTTCTAGTCAGACGCCTTAACCGCTCGGCCACGACTGCTGTATATATAATATATAACGCAAATGCAATCTAGATACAGAGCGGTCAGTAAATTTTATTAATTAGCGCTCTATACATAAATACAGTAAATTCCATTTTCAACCTAAATGCAAATGGGAGTGCTGATAAGCACTATTTAGTAGTTTAGTATCAAGCAGCATGTAGTACTAAATCGCATTAAAACGTAAAAAATAACTGTGCAAGTATCTTAATATTTCCCATAAACAAATTTGTAAACACTCTGTTGTCATTAATTTGTCAATTTGAGGTTGAGTAAATTTAAAAATAAAATTTTATAAAAATTTAAATATATTTTCGATCCGATGATCATGATCATCCCAACCTTTTTTTTTATCAGGAATTAAAAAAAAGTTTTCTT